GAAGTCAGAAATAAAACGAATGGTACTGTGGGACTGTAGGGAAAATAAATTTTATGTTACTGAACAGTTAGGACTTTTTGAGCAAATCTCAATAAAACTTGGAGCTTAAGGTGCAAGAATGAAGCTTCGAAAGTAATTAATGACTAATGAGATAGGGACACACTCTAGAGAGATTTACAGTTCAGTGGGCATGCTGGACCTAGGACTCTGATGCCATCCTGGGTATACAGCTGGAGACAGGGGTGCCTGGGTGGCTCAGTCAGTTAAACGTCCAACTCACAGCTTTGGCTCAGGTCATGATCTCATGGTTCATGAGTTGGAGTCCCATGTGGGGCTCTGCGCTGACAGCGTGGAGACTGCTTGGGATCCTCCCTCTCTGTACCTCCCCTGCCTCTCAAAATAAATAAATAAACTTAAAAAGTACATACATACATACATACATACATACATACATACACACATAGCTGGAGATAATGACCGTCTTTTTCCCTGAAGAAATTTACTCATAGTTCGAAGGATTAGAGTGTGAACTTGGGCTCCTTTCTAAGGGAGCAAAGGTTCCCCTCTCTGCTTTAAAAAGGGTAGGGGGACAACTACCTCTCTCCTCTATGCAAGCACCCAGATTCATTTTATCGGTGTTCTGCACCCAAAATACCAATTCTGCATGTATGTGCAAGACCCCTGGTTTTTCTTATTGCTCCGAGAGTAAGAAATCGAGGTACACCAGAACCACAAAATTGTTACTTTGCTTTACATAAATAATAATTGATCTGCTCTAATCCAGATACTCGTACCAATACTTGTATATTGTATTTACGGTAAAATTAACAAAGACAAATACTAAAAATTTAACAGTCTGAAATTTACAATCTCCACCAAGAGATAACTTCAGACCCAATGGCTTCATAGGTGAAACCTTTCAAACATTAAAAAAAATAACATAATCTCACATAATATCATACATAGAAAAGTATGAAACACCGCCCATCTCATCTTATGAAGGTAGTACAGTCTTCAACCCAAAACCTGAAAAGATTACGATGCGGACAATTACAGGACAACAGCTCTCATGAACACACGCACACAGAGAAACCCTATACAAAATAGTGAAAAGCCAAACTCAGTGATTATAACAGCAAAATACATTATGATGAAGATGAATGTATTTCAAACATATCAGGTTGGTTTAACATTTGAAAATCAATCAAGATCACTCACCATATTAACATAATAAATATGAAATAAGTATGACTATCTCAATACATGTAGAAAAAGCATTTGACAAAATTCAATACTCAGTCATGATCTAAAAAAAAAAAAAAAAAAATCTCCTAGCAAATTAGGAATAGAACTTCTTCAAAATGATAAAAGACATTTATAGAAATCCTTCAGCTAAAGTCAAAATTAATAATAATACACCCAACAGTTTCTCCCTGAAGTCAAGAACAAGACAAAAATGTTCACCTTCATCACTTCTATACATCACATCACTGGCATTCTCAACCAGTACAACAGGCTAAGAAAAAAAAAATGTATAAACATTAGGAAGGAGAAGTAAACTTCTCTTTATTCCTAGAGAACACAATTGTTTACCTATGAAATTTTTAAAAATCTATATAACTACCAAAATCAGTAAATTTAGCAAAGTTGCAGGATACAAAGCCAGGGTGCAAGTATCAACTGTTTTTCTATATGTTAGCATTAAACAACTGGAGAATAAAATAGTATGAATAGCATAAGGTTAAAAATGAAAATAGTATAAGAAAACATAAAAATATTTAAGAATATATTTACTAAAGGGCACCTGACTGGCTCAGTCAGAGGAGCATGTGACTCTTGATCTTGGGGTTGTAAGCTCAAGCCCCACACTTGGTGTAAAGACTACTTAAACAAATAAAACTTAAAAAAACAAAGAGTATATTTAATGAAGGATGGGAAGAACTACTAAACTGAAAACTAAAAAACCAGAAAGAAATTAAAGAAGAGTTAAATAGAGTCATACCATGGTCATGGATTGGAAAACTCAGTATTATGAACATGTCAATTTTCTCCAAAATGAGCAATGCAATCCCAATAGAAGCCCTAAAAAGGTAGGTGTAGGGAGTGTGTGTGTACTTGTACAAATTGACAAGGTGCTTTTAACACGTATATGAAAATGCAAAAGCTCATAGTAGCAATGCATTATCCATAATATCTGGCATCACAAAAATTATTTTAATATATTTTGTAGACTAAACATGTTCTTGGGGCACCTGGGTGGCTCAGTTGGTTAAATGTCCGACTTCAGCTCAAGTCATGATCCCACAGTTTGTGAGTTCGAACTGTGTCAGGCTCTGTGCTGACAGCTCAGAGCCTGGAGCCTGCTTCAGATTCTGTGTCTCTTTGTCTCTCTGTCCCTCCCCCACTAGCATGGGCACTCTCTCTCTCTCAAACAAACAAAAAAAGGCATTAAAAAAAAAAAGATGTTCTTAAAAACTAAATACATAAATCTAATAGAAAACTAAAAAACAATGGGTGCGTCTGGGTGGCTAAGTCAGTTAAGTGTCTGACTCTTGGGTGTCAGCTCAGGTCATGATCTCACAGTTCTGTGAGTTCAAGCCCCAGGTCGGGCTCTGCACTGGCAGCGCAGAGTCTGCTTGGAATAAGATCTCCTCTCCCTCTGCCCCTCCCCTATTCGTGCTGTCTCTATATAACTCAAAATAAATAAATAAATACATAAATAAATAAAACTAAAGCCAAAAAGATGTTCTTGGCAACTTTCTGTATTCATGTTATAGCCAAGGAACCCTGAAGAAAATAGCCAAAACAGGAGTGCTTGAGTGGCTCTGTCGGTTAAGCATCCGACTTCTGCTGAGGTCATGATCTCACCATTCGTGGGTTTGGGCCCTGATCGGGCTCTATGCTGACAGCTCAGAGCCTGGAGCCTGCTTCAGATTCTGTCTAGAGAGACAGTCTCTCTCTCTCCCTCTCTCTGCCCCACCTTGCTTGTGCTCTCTCAACAATAAATAAATTCAAAAAAAATTTTGTTTTAATTAAAAAAAAAGAAAATAGCCAACCCAGAAGGCTAACACTGCCAGATGTCATAACTTATAATTAAGTTATAAAAATAAAAAGCAGTGGTATTGTCGTAAAGAAGGATAAATCAGCCAGTAGAACAAATCAGAAGTCCAGAAAGAAAACCACAAATATATGATCACTCAATAAATGACAAAGATAAAACCACAATTCAGCAGGGGAAAGGACAGTCTTTGTAACCGTATTCAGAAGTCAAGAGACTAAGACAAGAGATAACTCAGAAAAGATTTTAATAACTACATACATCTGCCAAAAATTTATATTCAAAATATATTTTAAAAATTCTAGAATTCAGTAAGACCAATAACCCAATAAAATAATATTGACAAAAGATGTCAACAGTTACTTTGCTAAAGGAAATCCAAAAAGCCAACAAACATATGAAAGGATGCACAACATCATGAGTCAGCAGAGAAATAGGAATTAAAACCGAACAAGATAGCACAACACAATAACTAGAATAGCAAATTAATTAGGCTGACAATACCAAGTGAATGATGAACTGCAATTAAAACTCTCACACATTGCTAGTAGCAATATGACGTAGTACAACCACTTTGGAAAACTGTTTAAAAAATACTGATAAAGCTAAATATGTAGCTACTCTGTACCCAGCAAGCCTGTTTCTGGTCACACGTCTAACAGACATTAAGAGCTTAGGGGCGCCTGGGTGGCTGAGTCCAGTGAGCATTCAACTCTTGCTTTCAGCTCAGGTCATGTGAGTTCATGACCTGTGAGACCATGACATGTGAAATCGAGCCTCATGTTGGGCTCTGTGCTGACAGCATGCAGCCTGCTGGGGATTCTCTCTCTCCCTCTCTCTCTGCCCCTCCCCTGCTCACATGAATGCTCTCTCTCTCTCAAAATAAATGAATGAACATTTAATATATAAATAGATAGATATAAATATAGATATATAGGATATGATTTCAAAGATTTAAAAACAATTTTTCCTCAAAAAGACACACACAAGACTATTTATATCGATGCTTAAATACTTTAAAACTCAAACCAGGGGCGCCTGGGTGGCGCAGTCGGTTAAGCGTCCGACTTCAGCCAGGTCATGATCTCGCGGTCCGGGAGTTCAAGCCCTGCGTCGGGCTCTGGGCTGATGGCTCAGAGCCTGGAGCCTGTTTCCGATTCTGTGTCTCCCTCTCTCTCTGCCCCTCCCCCGTTCATGCTCTGTCTCTCTCTGTCCCCAAAATAAATAAACGTTGAAAAAAAAAA